CATTTTTCATAAGCTTAAATCGAGAATTTGAGGTCACGTGGCTCAGGACCCATTCCATACACAAGAAAGACTGGCACAGAGCCAGAATCCCTCCCTTGGTCTACTGTCACCCAGGGATTTTTAAGCCGTCCATCACATAGCACACACTGCAGGTTCAACTTACCTAAAAAAAAAAAAAAACTACCAAACCCAGGTCTCCCAGCCAATCCCAAGCTCACCCCAGGACCCGGAGTGATGAACCACAGACCTCCAGTCAGACCGCTGAGGCCTTGCTGGACTCGAGGCCCCAGCATCCTTTGTCACGTTTTCCTTCATGGGAGCACGGCTTCCAGAGTCGCATCAGAATACAGAGGTTGAGAAACGTCCCTCCCTCCCGGAAAGTTGCAGGGGACCTGGATCCTCAGGTGATGCTCCCACAGTTCCTAATCGGTGATGAAGGGGGAAACGAGCCTCAGTGAACGCTGCCTAGAGCGGGCAGAGTAGCTCCTTCCTGCTGGGATGCACGAGGGAGAGGAAGTCTGCTATGCAGATCTGGGGAAAGGTGTTTAAACAGTGTCAGACAAATCACAAAACTCGGGGGTGGTCAGCAAGACAGCTGGAACGCTGGGAAAAAAGAGAAAAACAAAAACTTCCCAGGGCTGGGCCAAGGGTGTAGTTCAGTGGGAGAGTACTTGTAAAGCATGCACACGGCCCTGGATCCCATCCCAGGCATGCACACACGCATGCACACACGCCTGCACACACAGACACACACATACACTCCCTCACAGACTCTGTCTCTGTCTCTCTCTGTCTCTGTGTGTCTCTCTCTGTCTCTCTCTGTGTCTCTGTCTCTGTCTCTGTCTCTCTCTCTCTCTCTCTCTCTCTCTCTCTCTCTCTCTCTCTCTCTTTCTCGTCATAAAATAGAATCCCAGCACTGGGAGACAGAGACAGGAAGCTTTCGGGGACTTACTGACTAGCCAGTCTAGGCAATTAGTGAGCTCCAAGTTCTGTGAGAGGACTTGTCTAAAAACTGAGCTGAGGCCCATGAAGATGACTCCGTGGGTGGAGTGCTAAGGGCCTGAGTTTAGTTCCTCAGCACCTATCTGAAAAGCCAGGCGTGACTGCCCGTGACTATGACTGCAGAACTGGAGTAGGGGGATTAGGAAGATCCTAAGAGCTTAATGGCCAACGAAGCCTAGGCCAAGCTTCCAACTTAGTGAGAATCCCTGTCTCGACATAAAAAGGTAGAGAGTGACGGAACAAGACACCAGATGTCCTGCTTCAGCCTCCGCAGGAGCACGCACCACACACAGAGAATGCGCGCGTGCACACACACATACACATGCACACGCACGTGTGGGCACACACATGCACGTGCTCGCATGCGTGCACACACATGCACACGCACGCGCATGCGTGCACACATGCATACACGCGCTCGCACACACAGTGGAGGGCGATGAGACATCAGACAACCTGCTTCAGCCTCCGCAGGAACATGCACCACACAGCACTCACACATGAAACTCTTGATGAGGTGTTTCTAGGTTCAAAGAAACCAGAGAGAAATAGCTGATGCCATGTGAGGTCCTTCGCCTGGATTCCGGATTTTTGACTGTCTAAACAAGAGCTTAAGGAACTTGGACAGAGGCTCATACCGGATGCTCACACATGCTCTCACATTCACCTTGACCCTGATTGCGAAACAAGGTTGATGGGCGATGAGGGCTGAAGCCCCTGTGGGTGACACTCAGGCCTGGAGCTTCTCCACGTGGCCTTGGCAGTCCTGCGTGTATGTGTCCCTCGCGTGTGGGTGTGTCACGCGGACAGGAGCAGAGGGGAAGGGGGCATTCAGGCAAGTGAGGCCGCGTAAGCCCTTGCTGAGTAGGACTAGACTTGGGGGTTTGTCGCTGTTCTGATTTTTTCTAACTTTTCTGGAGTTTGAAAGTTATCAAGACAGTCTGGAGAGAAGAAAGACAGAGTGGCTTGAGCGGTGACGCCTCCTGACCTTTCTCAGTCACCAGCCACCAACCCCACCTTCCCGTACATAGCACTTTTCACCTGGCCGCATGGCATTTGCATCTCTGCTTCTGTCAGGACGTCTGGGCAGGCCTTCGTAAGGCCCCTAGCTTCAGACTCCTCAAGTATAAATCAAAAAGTTACTCCAAGGCCACACACAGATGGGGTGAGGGGTAGAAGCCCGTAAACCCAGACAGGACCCAGACTTTGACCTTCAGCCCGGATCACAAATCCAGACCTCTTCCCAACCCGTTGGGGACTGGCATGTTGTCAGTGAACTTCCGCAGCCTGTCCTCCAAACCGTGTGGGGGGTAACCAGGGGTCTGGGGTGCTTGACCTGCTCTGCCTGTCCTCTAGATTGCAGGGGAGGGGGCAGTCATGGATGTAGGAGCACCCAACCTGCCTCCTACCTATCCTCCAAACTGCAGAGGGCATCAGGGGCCTGGGGTATCCAGCCCGGCTTTTCCTGGAGAGAGTTGTAAGGTGCTTGGTGGCCACTCAGATCAGCTCTGCCTACCTTTTTCCACGGTAAGGTACCCGCCTTAACACCGCACCGGCCTGCCATTCCCAGCGTCCCATTAGGATGCCGGCTCCGTCAGGATAGGCGCAGTCACCCCTGATTGGACAGAGACAGCTGCAGAGCCGAGGGGCGGGCTGCCAGCCAGAGCTACATCTTGAATGGCAAGCGGGAGCTGTGAGAAACCCCGCCAAGTCCCCCCTCTTTCCTAGAGAGGTGGCAGAGGTGCGGGGCTGGGTTGTAGACCCATGGGATTTTTTAAGGCAAATTCTTCATGCTGTAGCCTTCAGGGTGAGGGCAGTACCCCCCTGTGGCTGTGGGTCGGGGGTGGGGGTCAACTGGCTACTGTCTGGGGAGGGGATCTTGGAGTCTCTTCAATGTGGACCCCCCGGGACTCCTCTCCAACGGCAGCAGCTGTTCCCACACCTGCAGGCTCCATGAACACTTCCACTGGACAAGGCAGACATTGCTCTCTGTGTCCCCCCCCTCAGCCACGCACTATGCTTCAGAGTAGGGAGCCTAGGCTCACACGGGCAGCCTCCAGGGCCCTCCTGTGGCAACGCTCAGCCAGTGTTTCCTTCGCTAAGGAACTCACGGTGGCCGTATGAGTTTAATGACAACCTTTCAGTGAGAGGAAGGGATTCCCTGCACCCGAGTCACCTGAGAGTGCAAGTGTGGGCAGTAATGGGTTTAAAGAAGAGACTGCCCCTGAGGCCCCCGCAGTCCCAGTGCCAGGTGACCCAGTCACTCTCCCAGGAGAAGGGCAGCATGGGTAGAATTCCTGCCAGCTTGAGACCCAGAAGGACAGTGTCCATGGGGTCCTGCAACTCCATTCTGCTTCAGGATCTGTGGACAGATTCCTGCATAGACCTGGGCCATGGGAATCTGGCTGGCGCCTCAGAACACCAGTGGCCATGAAGGGGAATCTGGCTGGCGCCCTGAAGGCCTCACGTTGTAGACGAGAAAGATGAGGGCTGGGGAGTGGGCCCATACTTGCCTCCCAAGGATAAGGACCAGAATCTGATCCTAAAGGCGAAATGAAAAAGCCGGGTGCAAGACCAAGTGTGGGGTGCACGCGTTTAATCCCAGCAGTTGGGAGGCAGAGGCAGGCGGATCTCTGAATTCAAGACCAGAGTCAGCCAGGGTAATGTCATGACGTCCTTTCTTTAAAAAAGAAAGAAATGGGGGAAGCGGTGTACACCTATGACTTCAGCACTGGAGGAGAGAGAGAGAGAGAGAGAGAGAGAGAGAGAGAGAGAGAGAGAGAGAGAGAGAGAGAGAGAGAGAGAGAGAGAGAGAGCATCCATCCGTTCCTGGGGCTTGCTGACCAGCAAGTCTGGCCCAATTGGTGAGCTCCAGGTTCTGTGAGGGACAAAGAGTATGGTAGTGCGTGGTTGAAGAAGACAACTCTAGTCTCCGTGCGTATGGACACTTGCGTGTGCATGCGCGTGCACGCGTGCACACACACACACGAAAGGTGATTGGTGGGAAAGGCGGACAGTGGGGCTTCAGGGAGGCCCTCAGAATGACGTCATCACAGCTCAGGAGCTTTTGCGCCATGAGCCAGGAGGACCTCAGTGTCAGCCATGCTCTGGCCACATCAGTGTTAAGGTCTGGAGTGAACTTGTATTCTGTTCATCATCGCGTTCCAAATGGGGCTTTGTAGAAATCCTCAGGGTCCCTCATCAACCTCATCGCTCACAACAGCTCCACACTGGTGTCTGTCCTGTTTCCGGCAGGCACGTGTGCAGTGCTCAGGCCCTAACCCAGAGGAGACCTCGTCGGGACCCCCAGCAGGCCACGCTGGCCAGGGTTAGACAGTGTGACTGGAGGGCTCGGGTGGGAGCCAAGGGCGTGAACAGAGGTTTTGGCTGTAAGGAAGATGAAACATTAGACAAACAGCAAAATGGGCTGCTTAGCTAAGTGTCACCCTCCAACTTCAGGGGTCACTGCCAATCCCAAATGCCGCCTTGCCCATGGCAGTGGGGCCCCGTGATTCGAATCAGGGGCCTTCATCTGAGCCCTTGTGAGGCCAGGGGCGGGGCAGCTACAAGGCCTTCTTTAACTTCCACACTGACGCATGCAGACAGACTGTTGGACCTGCCTGGGATCTGGGAGGGCTCAGGTGGGAGCCAAGGGCCCAGGGGTCACTGAGGACGTCAAACAAACTTCCTGACCATCAGGGCAGCACAAGAAACTGCCGTGAGTAGAGCCGGGAGCAAGGCAAGGCATAAAGATGGGTTCTGGGGGGCGAAGATGAGAGGGACAGAGAAGTCCACAGCCCCGCGTGCCTGGTGTGAGCGGTGGGACTGGGACGTGCAATGGGGGGCGGGAACACCCACACAACCCACTCGAGTCCGTGGGCGGTCTGTCGGAGGGTGGGCGGTCTGTCGGAGGGGGCCGGCATGGGCAGCTCGTACAGCCCTAACCTGCCCGGTCTCTTCTTAACCACTGCTCTCTTGTCTTTTCATGTTTCTGTCAGGACTTAACCCTCTGTGAAAAGGCAAGCTGGTCTGGATAAGTGAGGCCGGCCCCATGTATCCGGAATCAACCACAGGGTCCCCGGCTCGACTCTCCCTGCGGCAGACAGGCTCCCCTGGGATGATCTACAGGTAACTCACCGGGGGACCTCCTCCCAAGATCAGTTCTTCTTCCTCTGAGGAGGGGGAGGAGGAGGAGTCCCTGAGGCAGCCGCCCTCCCTTAGGGACTCAAGCCAGGGCTCACGGAGCTGTGAGGTGTACAGGTCCCCCGGAAAAGAACGGGAGCTTTCAGAGCCTGTATGAAGACTTTCTGGGTGGCACTGAGCCACGAAAGATTTGTTTCTGGTCCCTGACTCTTGGTGACCTCAGCTGAGGTGGCCTGAGAGACTCAGTGGTACCTGCAGCGCCCTCTCCTTCCGTGTCTCCTGCTGTGCACGTCATTCCCCAGGGGGCTCTAGTATCCCACCCAGCCCTCAGCAAACTCACAAGCATTGGGGGGCCAGCACCTGCCCGTTTCCCAAAGTCCAGCAACAGCCAGACTCCCAGAGGGCAACCTTGGTCTCCTTGTATGAGCCAGCCTTTCTGAACATCAAGTCTCCTGTAGGGGGCGCTGGTGAGAGCCGATGGCTGCAGACCCATCCTAGAACCCCAAAGCCTGGTATCACCACCCTGAAAGACCATGACTGGATAGGACCGCAACAGCCTAGATATTCTGGGAATTCGGACCTTTCTAGCTAATGACTGGAGTCATGCAAATGTCTGCGGAAAACGGCGGGAAGCCGTGTGTGCCCTGGGGAGGGCCCCAGAGTCCCAGGCCACCCTGCCTGGGTGTGTTCTGCAGCAATTCTCAAGCAGATTGTAAAGCATGGTCTGAAGCTTGTTAAAACCCAGGCGCTCACCCCAGAGTCTACCCACGGGCAACCAGAGCAGGCTCTGCCTCACTGGCCACTGGGTGGCGCTGCTGCAGAGCATTTGGTGCCTGGCTTGTCCATCTGGAAGACCCCGGAATGGAACCAGCCAGGGATGGAGATGCATGCGGGGTCGGGGCTGCGGGGATGTGGGTGATGATTCTGAGCTCGCACCTGCCTGTGGTTGACGTCAATTGCGTACTGTCTTCTCTCCTTTCTCCCCCCTTTCCTCCACTGCTATCTGAAGTACTCGGTATGGGAGCCCCAAAAGACAGCTCCAGTTTTACAGGTAAACATCCTTCTCCTCTTCCCCCCCCTCCTCCTCCTCTCAACCCTGGAAGCCAGAGGCAAAGGTGTGGCGGGGAGGGCTGTGTGCATCCCAAGCAGGGCAAAGTGCCGGCAGGCGGGCACTGCCTCTAATGGCAGGCTCTGCCGGGCTCTGCCTCTCCGTGCTGACCACGGAGCCTGGGCGACGCCTCGGTGAGAGCATACGGTCAGGTTAATGGCACACGTCCGTTGACTGAAGTCTGCTTTGATTTGACCAAACGGACTTAGGATGCATGTTCATCCCTCAGCCAAATCGACCGTTGAAACCTCACTCACCACTTAGGCGTGGGGCTCCGCGGCAGAGCGCTTTGTTTGACTGGTGTATGCAAGGCTGTGGGTTAAAAGGGAGAAGAACATCTCTCGGTGTGCGGGCCACTTTCCATGGCCGTGGGTCTGAGCTTGCTTCCATTACTGGAGGGGAGGATCCGTCTGTCCTTCCTGCCGCCCGCAGATTTGGGTTTGGATGGACTGACAGGTAACCCGTGGCGCTGTCAGGTGCTTCGAGAGATCAAGTGTGCCTTCCTAAGGTGTATGCGGTGCCCCTGCGATTTGGATCAAGGTTCGCGGGGTGGGGGTCTCTGTAGCTCTCGGGTTCACTTCTCTGTTGGAGAATGGGAAGCCAGGTGCTTGCCTGGCAAATACTGTGCCGTGTCAGGGTGTGGCATCAAGAAGCCCAGACTCCTCCCAGGCCAGTCTGACCCTCCCTCTAGCCTGTCTCAGCCTTACCTGCAAAGCAGAGGACACACCCAGAAAGCATACCCCTCCTGGGAGACCGCCCAGCCCCACAAGATATCAGAGCTGTAGAAAAACTGCCAGCAGCTGGCCCAGCCTGCCTCGGGGCTGTGTCAGCGAAGCCGGACACCTTAGTGCCTGCTGTAGCATCTTAACCTGTGAGGTTAGAGATCACGGTCCCGATCTGATGAGCTCATCCCAGAGGTGGTGCCGTGGTGCCGTGGGATGCTCTAATGTACCAAAAAGCGCAGGCTGCGTGTTCTGGGTCAGCAGCGGCTTCTCGCACCGTTGTTTCCGTCCCCACGGCCTTAGGATCACGACCGCGCCTGGGTTCACGGGCTGGTTTGTGCTACCAGCTCTAAGGCCTCGCTCCTTACGGGCATGAGACTCTGGTTTGACTAGCACGTTGACCGGGTAAGACTTCCGCCTGGACGCAAGCGGGCAAACGTGTGCGTGCATCTGTGTGGCAGCTGAGGAATGTATGGCACTTGTTCTGGAAGGACCTGAGTGATAAAATCAAACGTGTGCCCACACCCATCCTCAAGAGAGCCTGGCCACTCCCCACCTGGCGGGAGAAGGGTGTCAGGGGAAAAGTCGAGGTGGAGCCCCAGTAAAGAACAGGTGTGATTAAAAACTGTAGAGAGATGTGCACAGCGCTGGCTGGCTGAGATAAAAACTGTAGAGAGCCGGGCGGTGGTGGCGCACGCCTTTAATCCCAGCACTCGGGAGGCAGAGGCAGGCGGATCTCTGTGAGTTCAAGGCCGGGCTGGACTGACAGCCTCCAAAACAATACAGAGAAACCCTGTCTCGTAATACCAAAAATAAAAACTGTAGAGATCTGTGCACAGCGCTGGCTGGCCCTTGGACCAGGAGCTCTCAGGTCTTTCTCGTCCTTTGGGTCTCCAGTGGAGTGGCAGGCAGGCCGCTGGTGACGTCCAAGGACTGGGATCTTCGTTCGCTGACCAGACTAGGTACCATTCACTCTGAGGCACCCACATCAGCACAGCACCAAGCATGGCCGGCACAGAGCTCGTCACGTGACTTAACAATGGAACCTTTGATGGCAGAAGGGCTTGTTGACAGGGTCTCCATTCTGTCCCGGCTACCAATCGAGCAGCTTCCAGATGAACAGGAAGTAAATTCCTGAATGGCGTGCAGGTGTCGTCGGGCGGTTTAAGGGTTTCCCTGCTTACGTGTCTGTGGGTTGGCGAGGGTCAGCTTCTCGGGGCTGTGTGGGGACCTGTACTGTCTCCAAGCTGCAGGCGGGTCCACATGTCCTCCATCCTCCTCCTGTAGCCAGGGCTTACCGCCAGCACGTTGTTCCCTGGAGGAAGTGCAGGAGGGTAAGGGCTGTGCTCAGTCCCCCGCAGCTGGGCTCCAGCAGACACTTAATGTTTCCGCTCGGGTTCCTACAGCCAGAGCAAGACTCCTGATCTTGGAGAAGCCAAAGGGCACAAAAATACATCCCCACCACCACACAAAGCCACGGTGAGTTGGTGGCTTTTTTTCTCCCTTGCATTTTTGCCTCAGTCGGGTGCTGGCCGCAGTCCCAAAGCTTTACCTGAAGCCCAGGTCAGGAGACCCGCTGTGAAAGAAGCCTGCTGTGCCCCTGCCAGAGCAGTGTGCCCAAACAGGGCTCTAGAACCTTCCAGGTACAGGCAGGTATATGCATACACCCCCATAGGGTACGTCCTAGAGGAGGGGAAGGACATCCCTATGTGCCTCTTCCCAGCGGCAGTGGTCACACACGCCACGGCCACCCTAGCTGCCCACCACGGCCACTGTTTGGAACAAGATGGAGTGGAGGCCGTGAGCTATGCGTCTGGCATTCAACTGACCGAACAGCCATCTCTCCCCGACCCTCGGCTCCCAAGACGCACCACGCCTGTGGCATGAGAGCCCCGGAGGCAGCCAAGGCGAGAGCAAGGAAAGGGGCAGGAACCCCCCCTCATGCTACACCCCAACCGTCGCCCCGCCGGGCATCAGCGTTGCCAGGCTGCAGCACGGCCCGGCGCTGCACTCCCCGAGCGTTTAGGGGCGAGGCACTCGTGAATAATTCAGCCTGCTCCACAAGATGAAAACTCCCTAATAGAAGCTAATGGACTCGCTGCCTCCAAAGCCGACCCTTGTGGGACTCTCTCTCTCATTCACCAATTGCTTCTGACGTTCTGCAGTGACACTCCCTAATGAAAACGCCACCGCGCCCCGCCGCCTCTCCCTAGCTCCCTAATAACTAGACTGTGGCCTTTTTAACAAGCAGCCACCCAGGGAAGCAGGTGAGTCGGACGGACACAGGAACGGATGTAGCAGCCACCGTCTGAGGGGTGCTGCCCGGACACAGGCGTGTCCCCCCCCCACCCCGGGAACTTACACGATAGAGCTGGGGTGAAGTCTGGGGACGCTTCCGGCTGATCAGAAATCAGACCATCCACGTTTTGTTTTTTTCCCCAAAGCAGACAACCTCAAAGAGCCCGTCGGGCTGCCCTTGAGGTAACTGCTGGATGGAAGAGGGTGGGTGGGCTCCCTCCCACCTGATCCTGCTTGCTGCCCACCCCGTGCAGCGTTGGCCTGCCTGTCTTCCCGTCTCCCAGAGACCCGCCATCCAGCTCGCGCCTCGCTGGCTAATATTACCCTTGATTAAGATTCGGCGTTCATGACTTGGGCTGGCAATGCTGTCCGCGAGATTTGTTGCTGTCTGCCTAGGAAGCCTGTGCCTGCAGGAGCCAGGGTTGCGTATTCGGGTCTCGGTTTGCTGATGGTTCTTGAGGGAAAACGGCTGTGCTTGTGCGCTGCGGGGACGCTGTGTGTGCAAGTGAGTTGCGGAGCCGCACCCCGGGGCGGTGACCACTTCGCTGTGTTTCTTCCGCTTTTCCGAAGCGTCCGGCTGGTCTCGGCCTCTGGACACGTGTTGGCATTTGGCAGAGAGGCAGGGCTTCTGCCCCAGCCCCAGGCCGTCTTTGGTGGCTGTGTGTAAGCAGAGCCTAGTTCAGAAGCTCCAGGTAGAGGGCAAGCTGGGCAGGGAGGAGGCGATTCCCACGACTTAATGAGACTTAATGGTTGCTGCCATCTCGCTTTTCCGTGTCGCCGTGTTAATTCGAGTGGAGTCCCCTGAGCCCCCCCCCCAGCCGACGGGAATAGATTTGCAGAGAAAACATAAAAGTGAGTGGAATTAGCAGGTCCTAATGGGGAGGGGGGTGTTAATTCTCCTAGAGACCTGGTAGGATGTAGGGTTAGCGTTCCAGAGAACCCCCTCCAGAGAGTGGCTGGGTTGTTGCAACTCTGAGGTCAGAGGTCACTGTACTTCTAGGTTCAGATAGGAGGAGCCTTGAAAGTGGACTTCCTTCCTTCCTTCCATCCTTCCTCCCTCCCTCCCTTCCTTTCTTCCTCCCTCAATGGTCCTGTCTCACCTGCAGCCTTTTATCTAAGAGCCCCACTGTCCTATATTCACCTCTAAGAAAAGCCCAGCGTGCAGCCCCAGCATGAGGGAGTCCAGAGTCCTTTGTCCATCTACAGCGGGGACACCAGAGCTCAGGACCCATCTACTCTTATCTATATAGCCTACCTCCTCTGGGTGGCCTTATCTCCCACCCAGAGTTAGTATCACACACACACACACACACACACCAGGGTTATGGATCTCTGTGATGAGCGGCCACCCTCTCCGAGCTCTCTTTAGATCACTGGTTACTCACTTGTAACGGAAGGCTCTGGGCCATCCCCAGCCACAGAACCTGCATTTCCCTCAGTGATGGCCACGCAGCCGACTGGGAAGGTACAGGGGCCCTGTTCTTTCCTCCCCGCCCCTGTTTCCTCCCATCTTGTAGGGAACACATGTATTCTCTGTTAAACGGCTGGTTTATTGTCCATCATTTCCTAGTGATGTTTGGTGTCTGTGGGACTCATTCTAGCCTCTGGCCACCCGTCTCCTCTCAGGCCTACACGACTCTGCAGCTTAAAATGATAGATCCTTGTCCCCACAGGTCACCTCTGGTATTATCATGCACACCTTTGGGGACAGCCACCTGCCCTGTAAAGTGTGCTCCCGGCTACACCACAGCAGACTGGTGATAAAGGCTCTGTCATTTCATAAGTACCTGTCTGTGTGGCCCTGAGTGGTGACAGAGAATGCTTTCCCACTCTGGACCAAGAGTTTGGCTACTCTCATCTCACACTGGGCCCGGCCCGGGCAGTATTTCCGGACCCCTGCAGACCCCAGGCACTTTTGTGGGC